TTCAGGTTCCTCAACAAGAGAATATTGTACAGAATCAGAATCGGAATAGAGCTCAGTTTGATCCCATCCCTATGACATACACTGAATTGTATCCTGCATTGGTGCATAAGGGCTTCATTAAAACTAGGCCTCTTATTCCTTGAAATCCTCCTCCAGCTGGGTTCAGATCTGACCTTCACTGTGAATTTCATTAGGGAGCTGTCGGTCATGATTTAGAAAGTTATTATGCATTGAAAAATAGAGTGCAAGAATTGGTGAAACCAAATATTCTCATTTTCAAAGAGGCAGGTCCTAATGTTATCGACAATCCTTTGACAAAACAAAGTGGCTGAAGACTGAGTCGGGGTACCCTTAAGTCACTTCCTAAAGCCAGTGTTTCAGACATAACAACTCATCCTTGCTACTGATTAGTCACTAGGCCATCTTTCTTTCTGTTTGCATTTTTCCCTTGTTTATGTTAAAATTGTTGCTTTCAAATATTGTTTATACTTTAATGTTAATCATAATGAAATGAGCATTGCAATGTTTTGATTCAAATCATTTTCATTTACTGCTTTCAAATATATTTTTCTTGTTTACTCCTTATATCAAGTTTTTGTTTATGCAAAGATTTGAGGGAGGATAATGAAAACGAAATACCCATAATTTTTGCTGGTATGCTTTCGAATAAAACTTTGCTAAGGATATACAGGCATTGTTTCAACTCCCAAACACTGGAGAAATAAAGAAGCTAATCCCTCATTCACCCCTTTGAGCCTAGAAGTTAGAGTTTCTTTCTATACGAAAAAACCCGCAATCTTAACCAGGGGATGGGTAGTTTCTCAGTTAATTTGGCTGTGCATTCAATTACAAGAGAAATCGTGCAAGACACCTTTGAATAAAGGTCGCGATCAAGCTTTCCTTTACACACTTCAAGAAGTGTCAAAGATGCTCTCAAACAAAAAATGACAAAGATGGTTCCCCGCAATCATTGAGCCAGACAGTCATTATATTTCCAAAAAATAAAAAAAAATCAAAACAAAAATCCCGCTAAGTCAAAACCTATGATGGAGACTTAGGAAAAAAACTGGGGCATCCCGTTGACTGTAATTCCAAATGAAACAGTTCAGGCAAAAAAAACGGGGGCATCCCGCTGACTGTAATTCCAAATGAAACAATTCAGGAAAAAGTTGGGAATAATAAATTCAATCAGAAGATGTCTTAAAATCCTTAAAGTTCTCCACCAGAGTCGACAAAAGTCCTCAAAACAACAAAATGTGATAATAAGAAGTGACAGCCATTATCAAGAATCCCTTAGCTTCTGAATCATCGTCATTGCTACCATCAGTGCAATTCCAAAATCTCTTGGAATCTGAATCCATATTCTGAATTAACTAAATGTAGGACTGAAGAACATCACGAAGATTGGGTTGGGTACAAATAAAATTTGAGCCTTTATCCTTTATTTCTTAAACTGTGAACCAGACCATGTTACAACCCTCAAAATACCTGAAGCCAGGTTTCTTTTGAAAGCATACTACAGCAAGGTTGCGTAAACTGACTCCTAAGGTCTTTTGCAAATCATATGTCTTGGTATGTTCATACCTTTGCTTTCTCTTTCACTTTAAAAGTATAAACCATTGTGTTTTAACCAGTGATGCATTTTCTTTACATCAATAACATCATTTCAAAAATGATTTTGAATTCAAAACTTTTGCATGAACTTTGCATTAAAATTACCATGTTTGAATAAACAATTTTTCTTGTAAAAAAGTTTTCCTCATCAAGGAATTTCAAATAGCGGAGAAACTTGGTCAGTGACCCTATCATGGGCAAGTATCTTCTAGATCCATTTGTGAAGCAGTTCAAGATTTATTGCTCAGTGCGAGTTTTCTCAGAATTGGTTAGCCAGAAAATCATTTTCAAGACTCATACTGGAGCATTCCTTTCCAACAATCATCTCAGAACTGAAGCCATGATCAGTTTATTCCAACAAACATTTCAAGAAACGAAGCCATGATCAGTTTACTTCAGCAATCATTTCAAAGCTGAAGCCATGATCAGCTTATTTCCAGCAACTTTTGACTGAAGCCATGATCAGTTTATCTTCAACAGTCAGTTAATCTGGGACAAATCCCCAAGCAACTCTCCATGTCCTTCCTCAGAACATCACCAGTTCAATACAGTTTACAAGTGTGAAAAATTTGGGTTCAGGACATTTTCTTTCCAAGCAAATTTGGCAGAGTTCTCCGTGTTAAGGAATCAAACTTCTAATCTTACCTCCACAAAAGAGTCAAACTTCGTTGTCATAAGAGCATGCATTACATGCATAGATCATTCACATATCATGCATAACAAAATTCATACAGAATGCATAACAAGAGTGTTTCATCTTCATTTGCATTTTCTGAGGTCTTGTTGCAATTGACATGTCACCTTGAGATCAAAGTCAAACTTACTTGACACCTACCAAAACAGATGTCAGTTCAGTTGTTTCTCTCTTTTGTCCAATGCTAATCTTGGATGAGTTGCTTCTCTCTTTCGTCCAATGATAATCTTGGATGAGCTGTTTCTCTCTTTCGTCTAATGCTAATCTTGGATGAGTTGTATTTCTTTCAACCAATGCTAATCTTGGGTATCATGTTTCCCCATACCGTCCAAAGCCAATTGGATGTTGTTACTTTTTCTTCCATCCAAAGCCAATATTGGATGTTTCTATCTTTTGTTGTCTTCCAAAGCCAATATTGGATGTGGTAATCTTATTTGCCGTCCAAAGCAAATATTGGATGTCTTGATCTTTTTTGCTATCCAAATCCAATATTGGATGCCACCATCTTTTCTTTCATTCAAAGTCAAATATCGAATCTCAGGGTCTTCTGTTTCCATCCAAAGCCATTATTGGATGTTGTTCCCTTTTCTTTCATTCAAAGCCAATATTGGATGCCACCATCTTTCCTTTCATTCAAAGCCAATATTGAATGTCAGGATCTTTTATTTCCGTCCAAAGCCAATATTGGATGTTGTTATCTTTTCTTCAATCCAAAGCCAATATTGGATGTTGTTATCTTTGTTGATGTCCAAATCCATTATTGGATGCCATGATTTGTCTCACCTCATTCAAAGCCAATATTGGATGTTGTGATCTTTTCTCTTGTCTAAAGCCACTATTAGACATTGAGTTTTCCACTCATTCAAAGCCAATATTGGATGTTGTGATATTTTCTCTCGTCTAAAGCCATTATTAGACGTCGAGTTTTCCATTCGTCCAAAGCCATTATTGGATGCCTTGATTTGTCTCACCTTATTCAAAGCCAATATTGGATGTTGTGATCTTTTCTCTTGTCTAAAGCCACTATTAGACATTGAGTTTTCCACTCATTCAAAGCCAATATTGAATGTTGTGATCTTTTCTCTCGTCTAAAGCCATTATTAGACGTCGAGTTTTCCATTCGTCCAAAGCCATTATTGGATGCCTTGATTTATCTCACCTCATTCAAAGACAATATTGGATGTTGTGATCTTTTCTCTCGTCTAAAGCCATTATTAGACGTTGAGTTTTCCATTCATCCAAAGCCAATATTGGATGTTATGATCTTTTCCCTCATCTAAAGCCATTATTAGATGTTAAGTTTTCCCCTCATCCAAAGCCAATATTGGATGTCATGTTTCTTTTCCGTCCAGTGTATTTCCTAGACGAATCTGATGTAACTTTATGTTTGGTCTCATCCCACATCTATTGTTCTTCCTGATGCTTCTGATTGTTTTTTCCGGAGGGTTGCTCACCTCATTCAATGCCATTCTTGGATGTCGCTACTTGCCTTCTCAGGTTTTATCTCTTTTTTCCAAGTATTGATGGTTACTCTTTGTCGCCCTGACAGATATCCAGAAGTATCTTGTTGTTTCCCTAGCATGTATTTCCATGTCATTTCATCTGAACTACCATAAGTTTCCAGTTTCGAGTCTTTCCACATTCCCACAGAGTCTGTCTCATATCATACATCATTCAAAAAATATATGTCAAAAAAGAGTCCATGCATTCATTCATAACATATGCTATCATCTCATCACATCAGGGACGAAATTCAGGTCTTTTTGTATTTAATTACTTTCCGTCTATCTGGCAAAAAGATAATTAAATAGGGGCAGTTGTTGTACCCTAAATTTCGCCCCTAATTTTTTCAGTCGCACTTTCATATCATATTTTTTCATTTCATCACAATCATTAATAAATATCTTCATTCCCCACAATTTGCATCATTTAATCGTGTTTAAGTTGACCAAAAGTCAGTTTAAATCGACATTTGCATCATTCTGTAGTTGAAAAATACCCGACATTTCACTTCATGCATTTTTATCTCTTTACTATTTTCTTGCATTTTCTCCAAGTTGTTTATATATCGATAATAAAAATATTTATGTTTTATAGACAGATTGTTAAAAGTGATTCAACATTGTGAGGAAAATTAGCGAGAAAAATATTTCAAGTTTTCACCTTTTACCGATCATTTTATGAATCTGCGTTTCACGTAGATTATGACGGTATGCTCGCTTTATTTATTTGGTACAGTTTGAAGTCTCATTTTAACCGTAAACGTCTGTTTAGCCTGATATTTTTATTCTCATTTTATTTTGATTTTTGACTTTTCAAATATTTTTATTTTAATCTTTGTGACATGTAGTTTATTTTAATGTGTTCATTTTATTTTTTCGGATAAATTTTTGTCATTTTTTTTATCGTTTTCAGTCATTTTAAGTCTTTATTTTTTATTCAGAAAAAATTTAAATTTTTTTTTAAACTGAGTTAATTTTAATACTTTCAGTTTTTTTAGTTATTTTTATTATTAAAAGGGTTTTTTAGTCAAAAAAAAAGTTTATTACACTTTAGTTTTTTTTCTATTGGTTGATAGCAGTAATTGCGGATTGATACAAATTGAAGATATTGAACGGATCTGATTAATCTGAAATCACAATTTTCCTCTTCATTGTCCTATTTAAAGGTCTCAATTTTCTTTGTAAAGGATAACAAGAAAAAGCAATAGCAGTAACTTCCTCTTCTCTCTATTCCTCCACGCCATAACCTCTTTCCTCCAATTCATCCCCTTCATCAATTACAACAACGGCACTATCGAACCATCATCTGTTAACCAATATCTAGCATACTCCACCGCCTTCCTCCATCAATATACTACCTCACCTTCTATCACAACGTTCATCATCACCAACAACATTCCACAAGCAGTCCGCTCCACCTCTATCTCTTCTCGTCATCACCGTAACCTACTGTCTGATTTCCGCAAGCCGCTCTCCAATTTCCGGCAACCGCAATCACAAACAACCTCCGCCAATCGCTCTTCCATGATTTCCAGCAGCAGCTCCAACATGCTTCTGCCATAGGTGTTTCAGGGCATCCTGTTGCTTTACATATTCAGTTTCCTATTGTGGTTAATGAAGCAAATGGTCAGTATGGTCAGTATAATTACCTAATACTGGACATAAACCAGATTCAGAACCCGCACGTTATTTTCGCTGTTTTGCATCAACAACTTCCGGACTCCCTCTATTTTAGTGATATTGGCAGGTTCTAAATTTTCTATCACTCTTTTGTTTAAATTTAATTTCTGAAATATGTTGAATGATGAATATGATGTGAATGAATTTGCGTTACAATTTCTGAGCTGTTATTGATAAAGATAATAATGTTGAAATTATTTGATGTTGTTGTTGGTTATAACTAAGAATGAATTTGTTGGGAATTAGTGTTGAAGTTGATGATATTGTTATTGTTCTTATGTGATACAGTTCTAATGAGATTGAAAATTTTGTTTTATGATAAAGCTTGTATAAAAAAATTCTGGTTTGTTCATGTTAAATTGTGATGAAGAATTTGTTACGGTTATGTTTCCCGAATTTGGTTTATTTGAATAATTCTTGAATTGAAATCAATTTTTCATGTTTGAAGTTAGAATTGCATATTGGCATGAGTTCTTTGTTTTTTCATTTCATTTGTGAATTAAGAATCATGATAATTTTTTAAGTCCATTTTGAATTCAATTTCTCTTGTTGCAATGTGAACTCTTGATTTTTCTTCCGTTATGGTTGTAATAGCGATTGCTTTTGATGTGCTTGAAATAATGTATGCAATGCTGATTTTTTGTGTTTACATTGAATAATATCATGAATTCTTTCTTTTTATTTGTGTAAATATTCATGTGCATTCATACAATTTCATTTCAATTTTATATTCTGTGATTACTAACACATGTTTTAATTGTTGCAATTTCATTCATTTTAATTTTTATACCGCTTATGCTACTAACGAGTTTGTTTATTGGGAAGGTTTCCGAAAATTGTTTCAAGTATCCATTCTCACAAAGCGCATCAATAATTCGTACACTTCTCCCTTTACCTCTTTTTTTTATTTCATTATTTCGATTTAATATTTGGTATTGTAAATATATACTTGTACATAATATTTTTGACTATATATTTTATTCACTTCATTTGTAAATAAATTCAGGTTATGTAAATATTATTTTCATTGCTTTGCAATTTTTAATTTTAATTCAAACGAACTTCTGAAAAATCGCACAGACGCGTATAATTTTTCCCATGTTGTTAGTTTTGTCTGTATACTTCATGTGATGCAGGGAATCTTATACCGTGAGCTATATTCAATATCTAGAGCCTTATCCGGTATCGTGAGCTTTATCCACGCTTTCTTAATCCATGATTTATTTTCACCCGTTGTGATTCATTGCGCTTTATTCGCTTCTTGGAGTATTATCTTACATCTGGTTTTTTGATGCTGTCGACTTGTGATTTATTTTCACCTGAGGTTTGGTATACTCTTAGCTTATTTTTCTGTCTGTGGCTTTAAATCCCAAAGGGATAGGAATACAGTATTGACTTCATCATTTCAATTATTGGTTTCTTATTCAGTCGGATCTTCTTTACCCTATATGTTACCCTCATGTACATAGGGCATTCTTTTCTCCCTTTCTCTTTTTCAAAAAATCTTATTTGTTTATAAAATCGAACCGCTTTCATAATAAACCTCGACTTTATCGAGTGCCTTTTCTTTTAAGCTTCTTTTCTTTAAACAAATTTCAATTCATTTAATCATACTTCGACATCTTTCAAAATTAACAAAAACACTTCAACTCATTCAAACCCTTTTGTGCGCTCGAGCACCTTTCATCCTTCAAAACTTTTTCTAAGATGAGACACGATTCATTGATAGTCGAGCAACATTCTCCTATCCCCATGGTTATAAAGGTGTTGACGTTTCCACTTGAGTGCTAGAGGCGTTCTCAAACCCTCACTCTTGCTGACGCGGGGTCCATCTTTCCCACACCTTGTGGACGTTAGTCGAGATTTCTCTCCTAACAATGACAACTTGTCTCTTTGTTTAAAAACAATCAACAGACAAGTCTTTTCTAGCCGAACTACGGTGCTATGACTTTCCCATTGCACGAGGGAGTACGTAGGCGAGAAACAAAAATAATAAAAAACGTTTCATTTTCTTTTATTTGCAAATAATCATTCATTCTTTTCCTTTAGCAAGTAAACCTTTACATAATACTCCTTTTAAAAGAAACCCAACAAAGTGGATCCTGCGGAGTATCGTAGATGCTTAGGGTGCTAACACCTTCCCTTTGCATAACCGACCCCCGTACCTCGATCTCTGATCTTTTATTTCATAGTGGGTTTTGTTCGTTTTTTTCCCATTTCCCTTTGGAAACAATAAAGTGTGGTGGAAACTTCATTGTGTTGAGATAAGTCAATTGATGGCTTAATCTCAAATCTGTACCGCTACATTTCTTTTCATATCATCACTGTCGCATTTTTCGTTCATCTCTGCTACGTCTTCGACGGCAGCGGCGATTGCTGCGCGACACATAGCATTGTCGGTTTCATAATGTGCATGATATTCATATCTTGATTTTCTGTTTGCTTTAACATGTATTAACACTACTAATGTATTCCTGAGTTTCACCGGTACAGGTTTGGACTATAATCGTGATCCCTTGCAAGCTAAATTGCAGGATACCATGTTTACACCGATTCAGGTTGTTTGTGCCATAACTCACAAACCAGGCCTTTTCAGTCCAAAGAGGTTGTACCATTTAACTCATAGCTCTCGATTTAGGGGGATATGGTACTATTTGCTTCCTAATGGTGATTATTTTGCAGGTTTGACCAAAAGGGACAACCGGAGAAGACGACCGGAGCTAGGGCTCCGCGCATCTCCGTTACAGGGAGCTTATTTAAAACATATATATATTTGGATTGATATAAGTTAATGTATGTATAGCCATCCTAGTGGAAGAAACGTGCACGCTAAGGCTTTGGTCTCCCAAGTCACGGGTTCGATCCCCGATTTTGCCAAAATTCTCATATTTTCATATTTTTTGCAGGATTATCATATAATGCGCTGAACCTGTTATCTTGACACCAACGACAGCTTAGCATGGTGGTATGCTATGCGTGGGTTAAGCACCCACCCCTACTCTTTTGGTTATTTTCTATGTTTCTCACTCTTTTCACCCTTTTTTCTTAAAAACCTTTCATAAAACATTTTTTAATAAACCCTAACATAAAACCCTTTTTTTCAATAAATAATTTAATTTTAGGTTTTCATTTAATTTTAGGTTAGTTTAATTTTAAGTTAATTTAATTTTAGGTTTTTTTTTAATTTAATCAATTTAATTTTAGGTTTTACTTAATAAACCCTAATTGGATTTTTTAGGTTTTGTCAAGTAATTTAAAATCAACCTAGAATTTATGGTTTTGCTTAATTAATCAATTCTTTTTAATCAATAAAAATCAATTAGACTTTAGGTTGATAATCAAAACTTTTTCATCATACGATTTTCTCCTTTTACCGCTCCACACACATTAGTACTTTCACATTAGTTTTTTTCCCAATTATGTATCTACTACAGTATGTAATAGTTTAATTAGGGTTTACTTTTCTCCAATTTTATTATTTGTACCCCCGCTCCGGAAGCCTTGTAATAGCGTAGGATTTTTATTTCCGCACTTTACTTTCTGCACCTATACTATGTATGCATGTATGTATATATAATTGTATAGTAATTAGGCATGTATGGCCAGATATAAAAGCAATCATAGAAAACCCTAAATACGAGATAAATAACTGAGAGGAGTATAATCTTATCTGTCGGTATGGCATCCCCGAGAGGATTATCACAGACAATGGTACCAATCTCAACAATACTATGATCATAGAACTCTACACGTAGTTCAAGATGAAGCACCACAATTCTTCTCCATATCGACCAAAAATGAATGACGCAGTGGAAGCCGCCAATAAGAACATTAAGAAGATTATATAGAAGATGACAGTGACGTATAAAGATTGGTATGAGATGTTACCATTTGCTCTTCATGGTTATCGCACTTCAGCAGGAACATCAACTAGGGCAACCCCATTCTCTCAGGTCTAAGATATGGATGATGTCCTTCCTGTCGAAGTTCAGATTCCTTCTCTGAGAATTATGAAAGATGCGGATTCAGACGAAGACGAGTGGATTCAAACGAGACTAGACCAGTTAAATTTGATTGACGAGAAGAGGCTTGCGGCTGTCTGTCACGGTCAGATGTATCAGAAGCGTATGATTAAAGCCTTCAATGAGAAGATCAAGCATCAGGTATATCAGGCTGGTGAATTGATAATAAAGCGTATCATCTTACCGCAAGGTGACCCCAGGGGAAATGTACTCCCACCTGTGAAGGGCCATTTGTAATCAAGAAGATATTTTTGGGCAGTGTAATGATACTTACCACCATGGACGGTGAAGATCTTCCATACCTTGTGAACACATACATAGTTAAAAGATTCTACGCATGAAAACGACCCGCTAGGTTGACTGGCCTAGGAAAAACTAAGGGCATCCTGGCGAACCAAAAGGGTTCGGGCAAAAATTAGGGATATATATATATATATATATATATATATATATATATATATATATATATATATATATATATATATATATATATATATATATATATATATATATATATATATATATATATATATATATATATATATATATATATATATATATATATATATATATATATATATATATAAGATTGTAAACCCGACAAGCCAAAAACCTGAAAAGGCGGCTTGGGCAAAAAAGGGTATCCCGGTGGACTGAAATCCCGAAAGGGCGGTCCAGGAAAAAATTAGGGATTAAATAGTACGACTATGTCTCGTTGGATCATTTACAGCCAGCTTTATTACCAACGTGAAGTTTGAATGGTGTCGATCAATTCAATCAAATTCTTCCAACAACAAGGGATGAGATGCTCGAAGGCATATGGGCAATAGCAAAGTTGAAACCTGACGAGATCATTTACAC